AAAATATTGAAAAATCAGCTTCAATTCTTTAGAAATGCTTTGTATCTAAAACATTTTTATGATTAAAGTGTTTTTTTTTAATGAACAATGTCTTTTATATATTAATAGTTAATTATTATACAAGTAACATGCTTTTGATTGGCTTTGATACTTGTAATTTGTAATAAATATGATTACTACAAATTATGCATATTTTTTATATCAGATTACAATATAATCTATAAGTTAAAAGTGATGGTATTGAAAAAAAAAACAGAATAAAAGAAATTAAAAAAAAATAAATAGAATAAATAATAATAAAAATAATAGTATTATTAATGAAAACAATAATCAATAATCAATAATAATTATAAATAATTTGTTTGAAAATTTTCCTGTACAAAACAGAGAAAATTCTGTTGAGGACGTTAGATCACTGGGCCATTTTCTTTTCAGGCGTTATAATTTTTTGGCTGTCTATACTATTTGCATTTCCAGATTGACGTGTGCATCCAATTTGTTCTGAAAGATTAAACTTCTGTTTTGGATCATTTCCGCTACTATAGGAATTTTATAGGATCATGTGGTTGGTCATAAACCGCTCTGCAGATCATTCTCAGAATTTTGTTTTGGACTCTCTGGATTATGTGATTGGCTCAGCCCCATAGCTCTATCCCATAAGTCCATATTGGAATTATTATCGCTTTGTAAAATAGAAGTTTATTTTTTAGAGACAGTTTAGATGATCTTCTCATTAGCCAGTTTATTTCCTTCAGTTTCTAATCTATTTGTTTTTTTTTTTTTATTAAAATATGCATTTTTCAATTTAGTTTACTTTCTATATGTAATCTTAGGTATTTCACGGATTCCTGATGTGGTATAATTGTCTTATTCAAATACAAGGCAGGTCTTGTGTGGCTTCTCAATGATATGATGAGATGTTGAGATTTCTTAACATTAGTTTTTATTTTCCATTTATGTAGCCATTGTTCTATTTTTGCCAGATAATTTTGAAGTAAAGAAGTAGCTGTTATCAACACATAATTGAAAAAGCAAAACAATTTATATTGTAGTAACTATCGCACAAAAGTCAATTACTCTTTAAATAAAAAGATTAATTATAATCTAATTATATTAGATTAATTATAATATAATATTTATAATAATTATAATAATAATAATTAAATATAATATAATTAAATCTGAACCAAACAAAGTCATAATAATTAAATAAAATATATACTTTTATTTGTAATGATTCATAAATAATTCATAACTTTACATAAATATTTAATATTTTTAATATTATCATTTAATCAAGGCAATTTTTTGAACATGCAAATATATATCTTTCGTTACTTATATTAATTTTGTTTAGAACTATTCAGATCACTAATAACAGTTAATATTATAAATTACAACCATTTTATAGTCAATTTGCACTTAGTGCTTACATAAATTAATAACAGATGCACTTAATGCTTATAAAAACTAATATTAAGAGATGCATAAACTCCTTTAAGTTTCTTCTTATACATATTCACTTACGTATTATTTTGTTGTGATGTAAATATAATTTTACTGGCAACACCAGTGAAGCATTTCTTCATTTAATATTTATTTTCACCTTGTGATAAGCGTTACTTAGTACTCCTCTAAGGTTCCAAATATTTGCAAAACTTTCAGGTTGAACATTATAATTTGAATCAACTGCTTTAGACCATAATTCCATCTATAAAGTCATATTAAAAAATATTCAATTTTATAATAATCATAACTTTCTAGTTCATCATGAAATACCATTTCAAAACATGGTTTTTAAATTCCTATTTTTATTATTAATTTAAATTTAGATACCAATTAATAAAAATAGTTATTCTTTTATAAGAAGAAACTATTGAAATATTTTTTAACCTTATTTGAAAAGAAAAAAATGTTGTTCTTACATGAAACAACATGACTTTGCACAGTTAATATTGTATTAATAAATCTGAACATTGTAAAAATTAATTCACTAAATACCTCTTTCACACCCTTTTGCACAGGTACATCAGCAGTCCATAAAGTCCAACCATAATGTCGTGATGAAGGTTCTTTACCTTGCTCCAGTTTTGCTGTCGTCCATGTTAAACCTTGATCACCTGTTACATCGACTCGCACAATCCTTTGACCACCTCCAGACCAAGCATATCCTAGTTAAAATATTTTTCATTATAAAAAATACTTATTACTGATTTATATTAAAAGTCGAAATAGTAATAAATTTGAGAAAATGGAATAGTATATTCTGAAGAACACTAATAATTATATTATTTATAATTTAAAAGTATACTATGACAACAAAACTAGCTTAAGACTTCTTAAAAAATATTTTTTTTAACTATTCCTTATTTTGTACCTTTAACTTTGATAAATCCATTTTCAGGTTTGACTTTTTCATTCTCCTGCGGTAGGCATATGGCGGATGTTACAGGCATTGCCTGTATAGCAGGTGACTTAGTAAAATCAACTGTATCCCAATCCGTGCTTGGACTAAATCCTTTATAATCATTTTGTTGCCAGTGGGAATCACTCTCCTCTGAAGATATGACTATTGATCCTAAATAAAAAAATATCTCAATAAAAAGTAACTGATAATCGATAGTAATGAAAGAGTGCTCAATCCAGAAATAATTGTTAAAATGGAGTTAAAAGTATGTGATAACTCATATTTGCCTAGACTACATACTCAATTTAATAAAAAATGGTTATTGAAATTTTTTTAAAAAATTTGATTAAATAGCAATATTTATACCTAACCACTTAACATTCCTAGCACCAATTACTCCTGGTATAATAACCCTCAAGGGAAAACCATGATCTCTATTCAGAGGTTTTCCATTCATTTCATATGCAAGCAGCACATCATTTCGTGGATTCATTACATGCGATAATGGCACTGAAGCACCATAAGTTGTATTTGTAGGATCAGCATCTAATCCTATAAACTAATAAAAATATACAACCAGTAAATAATGATTCAAGTAAATCAATGCACTAGTGAATGGATAAAAAATAAGCATAACAAAACGATTAAATTTGGATTTTATATTAAAGTTTAAAGGCATATTTTTGCAAAATTCTATATTTTCTGGAATTAGATAAATAATGTGAAATGTTCTTTTTCACATAAGTATTCAAATATAGTAAACATCATTGGATATATTAATATGAACATATTTTTATTACGCTGATACATTAAAGCATTGCTCCTAAAATACTAAAATTGCAACTTTCGAGTTGTTTATTTACTTCTTCATTAATTATAGAAAGGAATGGAATTTTAAACAAATAAAAAAAATGTTTATGTTTTCATTTGTTAAAGGGTTAATATTTATTAAAAAAAAAAGTTTATTAATTTTTCAGGAATGTATAGAATTTAGAAAATATATTTTATACTTAAAATTTAAAAATCATATAAAGGTGTCGCATAAAGATTGGAACCATATAGGAACACCTTACTTCAAAGCAAAAAATGCTACTCAAATCACAAAATTCCAATGCAAACAATATAAAAATATAATGCAAACAAATTATGAAATTTTGATCATCATTGGATTAAACGGCAAAACAACATATATTACTTTTATAGGTGTAGTCATACATTTATCTATGGAATGATGAAATGGATATTGGATAAAAAAAGACAAGAAAATTTCATTAAAATACTGTTGAGGCCCTATAATAAGATTATTGAAGAGGTCTTGAAAAATATTACTTTTATAGGTGTAGTCATACATTTATCTATGGAATGATGAAATAGATATTGGGTAAAAAAAAGACAAGGAAATTTCATTAAAATACTGTTGAGGCCCTATAATAAGATTATTGTATTAAGAGGTCTTAAAAGGTCTTAGAACCTAGTGTTACTTTACAGACATTATCATATATTATAAAATCGACTTACCTGCACATGACTTTCTTCATCTGATTTAATACCCATGGATTCCAAAACATCAACTAATCGGGCTCCAGACCATGTGGCATTACCAACAGCTGCTGCACCCCAAGTCAAACCTCGAACATCTTTAACCTTTATTTGGAAAAATTAATAATTCGAAATATTAGAAACAGAATCTGATTTGCTAATTTTATTATTCACTTTCACTTTTTAAAATTTTCTCGTGAAACGATTCATAATGAATTGAAACCCCGAGAAAATACAAAACTTTATTGAGAAAGTTCAAATTAATTTATTACCATGTGGTAAAATATGCAGAAATAAATGACCTAGTATTATGATAATTATTAAATATTAATATTTACCTTAGTCATTTCTGACCGTCGATTTCCGCCGCACATTATAGCTGCGCTGACTGAATATTTTGGCAATTTTTTAATATCATCTAACTTGAAAGTTGCTTCTTTAGTCACTGATTTGTCACAAGCTATTTCCACAGATATATCAAGTTCGTAATCTTCAACATTAATGTCAGGTACAGGTAAATGATTACGCACATAAAACATTTCACTAAAATATAAATATATTTGGTAAATCTGGTGCTTATGATACACGCTATAATATTCACTTACTTTGGTGTGAAAAAACTATCACAGAGCAATTTCAGAGGAGGCTCAGCATTGAATGGTTTCTGTGAAGCAGCTTTCAGTACTGGATGGCGTTTAGGTTCTGTACTCCAAGGATCATGTAAATCTGATGTGTCAGCTTGATCATCAGGATTCAGATTACCTTAATGCATATACTACATATTAATATAGTGTATGACAAGCAATATTATTTGATAATATATGTATAATTATAAATTATTTTGATTGTTAATATTTTTATTTTTATAGTGTGTTCGTTCATTTATCAAATTATATAAATTTAGACATTTCGATTGTATAACCAATAATTAATTGGATTATATAAGATTGTTTTAGTAGAGCTGGACAACAGCAAAATTTTTAATCAAAGTTTATTATAAATACTTTTGTGATTTTAGTTCCATTTAACTTAAAATTGGTCATTTTGTCCATACCTATTCTTAGTGTCTCCAGTAGAGCCCAAACTTGTGGATTATTATGTTGTTGATAGATATTCCAAAATGGTTCTACTGATCCTCCAGCCGCTAAATTTATAATATCGCTTCCTGGATGCTCCGCTACAAAGTTTGTAATATCATAAACACCCAAACGATAAGTCACCCAAATTCCAGTTTCCCTATTAAAGACAATTTTTATTTAGATACCACAAACTTGTAGAAATGCTATCTATTAATCTAACATTGAAGCATGTTTTGTGACATCGTCCATGCTATAGAATGGCAAATCTGGCCTTGGTTCTCCTACTGCAACTTTTTGTACACCAAGTTCATTTGCACTTTCTGCATGAACGTGAAGCAATTTTTTTTCACCTGCAAAAAAAAAAGTTTTTTTTAAAGTTTTATATTGTTTTATTTTATATTGTGTGCGTGTATAAATATATGAACTTGAACATATATGATCTTCAATATAAAATCAATATTTTTAGGTGTAATTTTTTATAGTTTTTAATTAAACCAAGCATTTGCAAAAAGAAAAACTATATGTAATGAGTACATTTGTAATGCAATATAGTATTTCAATAATATTTTGTTTAAATAATACATTAAATTTATTATTATTATTTCATTATTATTTTTAATATTTTTTTGTATATTATTATTTACAGAATTTATTTTATAAACTGCATTTCCTCCAAAAATGAAATAATAATATGTGCCAAAATGTTTGGTACAATAAATACTTACATATGAACTTCGATGATATAATTTATTAGAAATTATGTATTATATAAATTTTAGATTTTTTACTATACGTTGAGACATATTCTTGATTGTTAATTTGCAGCCAATTTCGACACGGTTGTGTGTCATCATTCAGTTATTTTTTTGAAATTCTTACAGCTCAAAAAATTTTTCATAAAATTTAGAAAAAAGTTTAACTTTAAAACATTATACTATTTTTTCATAAGAACAGAAATAATGAAGTTTTTCATGATATTCTTTTTTTTTCAATAATAAATCGTAGATCTAACAAAAATATATATATATACAAAAATATATTTACTTACTGGTATACTTATAACCAGCATAAGCAGCTGCAACTATACCCAAAAGAGAGAATACTTTGTGACTATGCCACGAAGAACAGTTTTCATGATTACTTTGTGAATGATTTTGAAAATGTGCTTGTGATAGACAAATATATCTGGTGGATGTTCCTCTGATTTTCAAAGTATTCCTTATAATTTGTGGAAATCTAAAATACAAAAATATGGAATAAGTAAAAATTATTAATTAATAATGAAAATAATGAAAACATCAAAATTCTCTATAGAGAGAGTACTTATAAGTACTAAACCTATAAATTTAATTATACCTAACATACATATTGCAATAATTACATTTGATATTACATGTTATAATAAAAAAAAAGCCCATAAACCAGAGCGAAAACAATGAAGGTAAGTAAAAAAAAAAATATTACAAAATATATTCAAATGTGATAGGTCACGTAACAAATTTATATTATGTAGTTTAAAAACAATGACCAAATTAGTGAATAAACATTCTTCTATCTAACATTAGATACAACAAATTTATTTATTTAAAAATTACAAAAATATGGAATAAGTATAAAAATAATTTAAGCGTTAACACTATTATTAAAAAATAATGAAATCATCAAAATTCTCGCTTTAAGTGTGGAACCTATAAATTTAATTATATGTAACACACATATTGCAATAACTAAAAATGAACAAAAATATATTAGATATTACATGTTATAATAAAAAAAATTATAGCCCATTTAAGTATTAAAATCAGAGCAAAAACAATGAAAGTAAAAAAAAATATTACAGCATATATTCATCGAATGTGCTACATCATGTAACGTAATGTATATTATGCAGTTTAAAAACAATGACCAAATTAATGAATAAACATTCTTCTATCTAAAATTAGATAACACAAATTTATTTATTTAAAAACTGCATTGCAAAAATATGGAATAAGTATAAAAATAATTTATGCGGTAACACTATTATTAAAAAATAATGAAATCATCAAAATTCTCGCTTTAAGCGTGGAACCTATAAATTTAAAATTATATGAAACATACATATTGCAATAACTAAAAATGAACAAAAATATATTTTATATTACATGTCGGAATAAAAAAAAAATATAACCCATTAAAATATTAAAATCAGAGCGAAAACAATAAAAGTAGGTAAAAAAAATATTACAGCATATATTTATCAAATGTAATAGGTCATGTAACAAATTTATATTATGCAGTTTAAAAACAATGACCAAATTAATTAATAAACATTCATCTATCTAAAATTAGATACCACAAATTTATTTAAAAATTGCATTACATCAAATTATGTACAAATGATGCAGATGTTTCTAAGAACAATTAATGAAACAAAATATTTATGATGGAGAAAATGATATGCTATTATCAATTATTTATCTAAATTTATTATCTAAAATTAGATACAACAAATTCATTTAAAAATTGCATTACAACAAATTATGTACAAATAATGCAGATGTTTCTAAAAACAATTAATGAAATAGAATATTTCTGGAGAAAGTTTATATGCTATTATCAATTATTTATAATTGATGTTTAGAATTCTGTCGATAAGTATGCAATTGTCGCATATACACAGAAAATGTTATAAATAGAACACATGCCAAACGACAATATGAATATTTAATTAATAAATAAATTGACAACGATACCTGCAATTCATTTTGAACACTTATTTAATCACCCACTATTATGAAATTAAAACATAAGAAAAATTCTTGGTGAAATTCGTCGAAATTTCTTTAAGGTTATACGGATAGTTCCGTTTGTCTGTCGTAACGCCGAGATGTATGGAACGCTAACGATGTACTGTATAATAAATGACCTCTCATGCTAATCAGCTACGATATTATTGCCAATACTTGTTATCACATTTTATCAAAGCTATTTAAGTCAATATATAACTTTTGCGTATGGACCACATGTTTACCATCAAAGAACTGTCAAATAGTTCACTTTTTCAATATTGGATGTATCTGTCATCGCATTGTCAAGGCCCATCGAAGTTGCGAAGGTCAAGGTCAATGACTTGCGAATACTTTGCGAAGAACCAGAAGAACATGAAAGTTTATACAAATTCAAGCTAAATTTAAAACAAGAACGTTAAAATAACAACGCGTTTTCCATAGCCAAAACCATATTTTCTTTTTACTTGAAGAATGTAATTCGATCAGGCTCAACATAAAACACTTTACAAAAATATATATCTATAATATATACTTATATACAGGGCCGGTCCTGGGGTCCTCAGCGCCCGAATGCAACTTTTTTTCTAGCGCCTCCCCCATTAATTTTGATTGTTTTAACAGTTTATCATTTAAATTATATAAATATTTACATATTATTTAAAAATTAATTTTTAATTATTCTGGTGCGGAATAATTATTTATAATCTAAAAGCGTATAAAACATATTGATTTTAAATTTATTTAGAAAATCGAGGCGATTAGCGGGTTGATTAGAATCAAATATTTTAAAATTTTCAATTATTTTTAACTTATGTGCAATACCAAATATTTGGGTATTAAAACATTTCACTTATTTATTATGCGATTTATTCTATTGAGCAAATCATGCTAAGAGAGCTCAAAAAAAAACTAGAACTCATAACACTCGTATTTCATGTTTGATTTTTTAAATTTTATTTTAATTTAATTTTTCATTATTTACAATATCCAAAATTGCGTCGTAAACTTCTCCTTCATCCTTACCTATGTTCTCCTTATTCCTTATTGATATCGCAAGAGCCGAATTGTATTCATCCTTGCTTTCCCGTATCAGTTTATTGTTTTAAAGTTAAATTTTTAACGTATTTAAAAAGTATTGTTCAAAAATCAGTAAAAAATGCAAAGAAATTACACATTTCTTGAACTATTTTGAAAAAAAAAACTAATTATTTTTTATATGTATTATTTCTGCATAATTAATAATTATTAAATTTAGAGTATGGACACCACTAGGTATAAAAAGAAACTTAAGATTTTCGTTTCAAAGTAAATTTTGCTTTCATTTTTCATATTTGTTCCATTTCCATAACCCTAACTACGCATGTCTTCAACATTAAAAATTCATCAGATGCGTAACATTTGCAGCAAAAACAAAAGCTACAATCTTTTTTTATTTATGGCTACAATTCAATTTCTCGGAATAAATATGCCATTTTCTAACCACTGAGTTCCCATTGTACATTTTCCCGATTATAATTTGTTTATATTTTTTAACAAGTTCCGATTCAACTAAACCAGCTCGCAATTTTTGTCAATAATGCCCAATAATTAATTTGATCTTTCGTAGTTGCGCTTATGGAATTGAACACTAGATACACTAGAATTTAGTTTATCTAGTGACTAGATAATTTCTTTTTCGATTCCACGGCAAATTCAAACAAAGAAAAAATTGAATAAGTAAATTAAGCAGTAAACAGAGCTGTTATTTACTAATTTGCACAGTTATTAATCGGTTAATTGTTTCTATTTATATAACATTGCAAAATAAATATGCTTTTTATGTCTCCGTATCCCTAGTTAAGTTAAATTGTTTATTATAACTTATTAAGTATTCTAAATTTTATATACATAATAAAAAATGTAAATAATAAATCATAAATTTAATTTCCGAAGCTTAATTTGGCGCCTTCTAAGGCGTGCGCCCGCATTTTTTGCATGCAACGCATGCAAGGCAGGACAGGACCGACCCTGCTTATATATATAAATATAAATAGAATTTTAATTTTTTTCTAGCTAAAGTTTTAAATCTCACTAATATACTTAAAATAAATAATTTTAATTCTGCAATTCAGTTTATATAATTCTTATAAATATTAGACAATGCCCTTCATTTTAAATTCGATTGATTAAGTTTTGTTTATTTAGTTTTTTGTAAACATATATAAGTTACAGTATTTATAATAATCTATTTGAAAACATTTAATATTCCTCGAATATTTCATTACGGTACGGGAAGTTCCAGCAATTTGCCTTCAAACACGATGCCATTCACCACTAGTTTATCTTAAATCCGAAATTGGAACTTTAACGCGAGGGATGAGAGTAGTCTTTAATTAATTGTAAATATAATTTATTTCACGATTTTGTGATGAGAATTTCTCTAACTAAATCGAACATACTCAAATAACAAAAACCTACAAAATAGTGTTTTAACTGTTACCAGGCTAAAACAAAAAATTCCTAATAATCTCATAAATAGCCATTTGTAAACGCTAACATTAATATTATTATTATTATTATCATTATCTTTTTTCTAATATTGTTATTTTGTTATATTTTATTGTTTTTCTAGTATTATTTTATTATTCAGAAATTTTATTTATTTTATTTATTACTTTATTTTTTTATTATTTGCTTTTATTTTATATTGAATCATCATACCACTAATATCATTTTAATGTAAATTCTATCCTTTGTACTCTTATTTATTTAAATTTATGTTATCATTATTATAATTATTGCTAGATGTTATATTAATTTACAGTTGTAATAAATATTGTAATTAAAAAAAACTGTAACTAGTGGTGTATGGCACCGTGCCTTAAGACAAATTGCTAAAACTTCCCGCACCAGAAATTATTTTTTTTTTTTTAAAAAATTAATTTTTTTTAACTTTGAAAAAATTAGATTTTTGTAAAATTTTACATTTTCAACAAAAAACTTGGAAAAAAAAAACTTATGAAAAAAAATGTTTTTGAAATTTGTAATTTTAAAATCTGAATTATTTATTTCGATATAAAAAAAAGAAAAAAAAATTGAAATAATTTTTTTTCCAAAAGTAATTATTTTATCAAAACATGCAGGAAATTTTATGAATCATTTAAATCGGATGCTTAATTCTCTCAAAAACTGCAATATTTTGCACATTTAGCTCGGTATCTCCGAAACGGCAAGACCTGCCTTTGCCAAAAAGTAAACACCATTTCTCCCCATTACGAATTACGAATTGAATGTTTTTCGGACCATTCAATTTGGATGCTCCGTTCTCTCAAAAACTCGATATCTACTTTCTGCACTCCGTATCACCGAAGCGGCAGAACCTGCCTTTGCTAAAAGCTAATCATCACATTTCCCTATCAATAAAAATCGAATGTTTTTTTAACCATTCAAATCGGTTGATTCGTGCGTCCGAAAACGTGGACAAAAAAATGGAGACACACAAAACACTCTCACTTCCATTTTTTCTGAGTTATGCCAAAATATTCAGAAACCTCTGAAACGTGAAGATACGCAAAAGTTTTCATTTTCGGCCCATTACTATAACTTACCCTACGGGAATTATAATTAATATATAATTAATTATAGGCTACTCAATATTTTCAAGATGTTATGTACTTAATGTTGAATATTGAGAGTATCAATTAACTACAATTAGTTTGCACTTCTACATTTCAAATGATTTGTGATATTACTATTAAAAATAAAATATTCGTAATTTGAAATATAATGAAATTCAAACAAATAGAACCTATATTTATATTTTTATTACTGGCAGTTAATGGAACACTTCAATAAAATAGATAAAAATAATATTCAAAATAGGTAATAATCAATCAAATAATAGAAACAAGAGTGTTTCTAGTTTTTGTCTAATGACAAGTATTTTATGAAAATATAAATGATTAACAATCTTTCATTTAATATGTTAAATAAAATATCAAAAGCGCTTAAAAATCTGATTTCACAATATAATAATTAACTGTATCACAGACATTTATAAGAAATCTCGATACTTTTGATAAGAGCGAATAGACGGCACTGCGTTAAGAAGATACTAATGGTATATGATAAAATAACAATTATATAGAGATAATATCTATGATAAATATCTTTGGAATTTTCTGGATTTCTTCAATAACGAAATTGTTTATAAACCAGTATAAACTAGAATTATGTAATTTTTAAATGTTTTTTAAGAAGAAGAGTAGTGTAAAATTTTCTTTAACACGGAAGAAGAACATAAGAAACTACAATGACCTCGATTATTAATAATAAATGGCTGGTATAATTGTGTGTTGATATAAACATCTTTGTAAGTGATAATTAATCAACGGTAATTATACAGAAATATATATCTACTATATTTTACTATGTTCAATTTTTCTGCTCAAGATATTGAAAATTATTGTTGTCTGAAAATATACCTTTAAAAAAGGCAGTATGTAATATATATATATATATATATATATATATATATATATATATATATATATATACATACATACATACATACATACATACATACACACATACATAAAATGTATTTTCTCAGAATCATTCGATTATTTTTACACATATAAATATTTTAATGACATTAATCGTAATTATATCAAATAATCAGTTCTAAATTAAGGTATATTATCATATTTGTTGTTTGATATGAAATATGTTAAAGCAAAATAAACAATAATTTTATGACGATATCAATTGCCCTACATTAATTTTTTGATTAATTTTAATACGAAAACATTAATAACTTTTGGTAAAATTATTGAAGAAATATAAAATAAGACCATATTATATTGCGTAAAATGAACTTACAAAAATTATAAATAATTGCATAGCCCGTTTTTGTATTCAATTAAACAGGCTGCAGCATCATTTATAATGCATTCCTGAAATGTACCGTGCAAATCAACTATAAAATTGTAAAAATACTGATGGTATGATTTCATATTACATTCTATTAAGATGACCAAACGTTTCAGTTTTTTCTAGAAGAAATAAATTTCTCGGTTTCAAGCTTTTTGTCCTGGAATGTTTCGAATTTTTAAAAAGTATGGTTTTCAATGAATGAATATCAATTGAATTTTTGCTTTTACTTGATAATGAAATTATAACATGATACTTGATAATAAAATCCGTTGTAAATAAATTAAATCTCAGTTTAATAATTATGAACTACCACTTTTAAATTTACAAAAATGCAAAAAGTCACGCGGAAAACGATATTATTTACAAAACTTATAGACCCCTTCTTTTAGGTCAACGAAAAACTTCACGCATTTAAATTATATGTATTGCCCGCAAATAATTCTATAATTGGTACATGGCATCGTGCCTTAAAGCAATTTGCTGGAACTTTACGTACCACAATGAATATTCGAGCAAAAAAAAATTAATAATCAATAAATTTTGATCAATGATTAATAACAATTGTTTAAAATGTTTCCAAAGAGATAATTATAATACGATACAGTGATGATCTTATCACTCAAAACACTTGAAAATGTTTACATTAGGAAGGAATGCTGAATGAATCCATCTGAGGAATTATTTCTTACGGGTAGAATAACGCATATGAAATGTATACAGTTTTAAACTGAATTGTAAATTTAAAATTTGCGTTTGAGAAAAAAAGTAAAGTAATACTCTGCATATGTTTGAAAATTTTGAAAAAAAATTAAGATTTTGAAATTTGTTTGAACCGTATAAGTAAACTTTGAAAATTCAAAATCTTGGTACAAAACCTAAAAATTGTAACAAAATTTGTTCTTATTATTGAAATATCTATAAAATATCTGATAATTCTATGTGAATATGTTTAATAATAATTTTAGACCGCCAAATATCATTTTTTATTACATTTTTTTTGTATTTCCGAAACCACTAGCCCTGCCTACTTAAAAATTTAACCAATTCTTTTCGTCAATACAAATAAAATGTTTTTTGAATCATTCAAATCAAGTGCTCCGTTACCTCAAAAACAGAATTACCAATTTTAGCACTTTTTGCCTCGTATCTTCAAAAAGGCTGGATCTGTCTTCACCAAAAACTAATCAACACGTCTCTCCATTAGTAGAAATTGAATGTTTTTTGAATAATTCAAATAGGTTAGCCATGCGCCCGACATCGTGGGCGAAAAATTGTATCTAAACATACATACACACATACATCTATTTTCTAAGGTATACCAAAATGTTCAAAAAACCTTTGAATTCGAATTCGATTTTTTTGCGATTACTATGAATGACTTACATTACGGGAATGCAATCCCCTTTTTTGTCTAATCCTAGGTGACGAAAAGCTCTTCTGATTCTTGGGAAAGGCCTCTTTTATAGTTTTTCTTAAGTTCAGACTTGTTATGAATGGAACTCTCCATCCTTCCGGAAAGGCCGCCGCTTAAGCCTAGCGCTGATGTAGATAAAGGTCATGTAAGAGCGGCGTAGCACTTCATTCGCTAGTGTAGCGCGGCGGACGTAGCATATATTGTACTAAATAATTCGATCACGAAATAAACAAACGCACTAACGATGATATCACTATATTTCAACATATATTTTTATTAGAGGTAATATTATTATATTAGATTCATATTTTATAGACTAAGTCGAGGCACAAAGGTCCAATTTGTTTTCGAGCAATCATATTGTGAAAACCATACCAATTGTATCACAACAAATAACACATATCGAACAAGCAACTATCTATGTTCAGTAAAATTACCAGCTAATTCATCAATGTATAAATGTGTTTTTTGCTGTTTTTCAAAAATTTGTCACCGTTTTTCAATGGGGACTGCCAGGAGGTACCAAGTCTAATATCTTATTTTTAATTTTAAAGGGATTATACAAAATATTAGCTATATTTATATTATTCAACCAATGCAAAATTTATATTTCATGGGATCATTTTAAACCGAAATAACACTGTATAGAACCTTGATCTGGTTATTTGACAGAAATGACTTGTTGGAATGGCTGTTTGTTTAATTTATAGCTGCAAAATTGCTTTTTTAAACTCTATTTACTTTTTTATTTACTATTTTTTATTGTTCACACATTTGCCAGGAAAAGGTTCAGTTGGTTCTTTTTACTCCACCCTCGCAAAAGCTTTTATAGAGGTTATATAAAACAAACTGTTGAATTTAGTTTAAAGTTAACAAAACATTATATAAAACAACTAAATAATGTAAACTTAAAAATTATATTGAGGCCTCGTAAACTAAACCACAGTGCTTTAGACCAAAAAAAAACTGACAACAAATGGAAATATTTTCGTTATGGATTTTTAAACATTGCCGTTTTTCTCCCGATAGCAACGTCTTAAGAATCAAGGCGATGGCTGATTATACATCATTTTCCCTTTACTTTTTAACTTCCCGTAGGGTAAGTTATAGTAATCGCAAAAAATCGAAAATGAAAATTTTGATATATCTTTACGTTTCAGAGGTTTCTGAATATTTTGGCATACCTTAGAAAAAATGGATGTATGTGTGTGTGCGTGTATGTATGTGTGTGCGGATACAAATTTTCGTCGACGATTTCGGGAACACGGATGAAGCAATTTGAATAATTTAAAAAACATTCGATTCGTATTGATAAGGAGACGTGCTGATTAGTTTTTGGCGGAGGTCGGTCTAGCCGTTCCGAAGATATGGGGCAAAAAGTGCCAAAAACGGTACCTCAGTTTTTAAGAGAACGGAGCGTCCGATTTTAATAATTCAAAAAACATTTTACTTGTATTGACAAGATGAAGGTCTAGCGGTTTCGGAGATCTAACGAAAAAAGTAAAAAAAAGTGCCATTTGGCGGTCAAAAATGATCATTAGACATATGCACGTCAAATTATCAGATATTTTATAGAGATTTTAACAATAAGTATATATTTTGTTTACATTCCTATGGGTTCCGTACCAATGTATACCCGTTAGACAGCGACGCGGCGCTTACGCGCTTTATATTTTGTCTCTATGCAGTTAAAGCAGTACTATTGCTTTGAAAAAAATTCAGATCTTCCAAAATATGTCAAAATAAAGAAAAATCTTCCAAAAAAATTAATTTAATTTTTTTTCAAAAAAGGTAATTTTTTGTCCAATTTATAGTTTCTCAAAAATCTTATTTAATTAATAATAATAATAATAATAATTTTTGGTACGGGAAGTTCCAGCAATTTGCCTTAAGGCACGATGCCCTAATGGCCTTAAGACAGAATTCCACTTACAGCTAGTTAATATTATTGTTAAAAATATTTTAACTTTTCTGGTTTTTGAGATATCGGTGTTGGACCTTTTCACACGCGGAATTTTAAGCCCCGCACTACTCAATCAGAATATAAACACAAGTAATACAAAAGAAATACAGGATGTTGAGAATGTTGAGAAAGAATGCAAAATGTTTTCCAACTAATGCTAATAATCATTGAATAATAAAACTACAAAGGGTTATAGCTTATATGTGATACCACAAGAAACTAATTTTGCTTCTATATATTTTTATACTAGTTTCATTAGAAAATAAACTAATATGCAAGACATGAGCAGTTAAAATATTCCATGCGGCCTATCAACCCGTCGTTAACTAACGCAATTATTAATAATTGTACAGAATTATCAATAAAAATGTTTTCTTTCTACTTAAACAAGGCGTATACCTCACGCACCTCGCTTCTGGTGTCAAATGACGTCAAGGTGGTAGGTACTTTATAAATTATCACCCAGACTCCAGTTCATCTTCATTGATGATCTTCATTTCCTATCAATCGGTAGTGTAGTATCAGCAATGATTGCATTTTTTACTATTTCGAGCTCACGTCGTTTCATGGAATATTTAGCGGTTCATTTACTGCTAATTACGATATTGTTAGCGAGTGTGGCGAATGGTACGGATTATTGTGACGATTTTTTATGCTGGGATGTTGGACTGCCGCATGCTGGGTGCAATCACACGGTGAGTAAAATACTTTTGTTTTTTAAGTAATTTCAAAAATCTATTAAATTAAGTTCATTTTCACGCTTCATTTGGAATTCCATCAATCCCCGCTGCTTTACCTTTCTTTATCTTTTTTATGTGTTGTCTAATATCCGCGTCAGTAAGAGTTCATTTTCACTTTATTCAATTTACAAATATGAGTTTCTAGTTTCTACCATGTATTGTAGATTTTTTTTTTTTTTAATTTCAATAATTATTACAACTGCTTAATTTATTAACATCAAGTATATTATAAATAATAATATAAATTTAATAAATAATAAAAAGCAAAGGATAAATTTACATGAAAATAATATCCGTAATGTGATTTAATGTAAAATAAGCAAATAATAATAAAAATAAGATTAATAAATAATATAAATAAAATTTCAGAATAATAAAATAAGACTAGAAAATAATAAAATATAGTAGATGATTTCATTTAATGAATGCGATAAATACATATTTAAGTTTAAATTTGATTTAAAATAAGTAAACTAGTGGTGCATGGCATCGTGCCTTAAAGCAAATTGCTGGAACTTTCCGTACGAAAACTAAATTATTAAAAAAAAACTTTGAAAAAAATATTTTTTAAGAAATTTTGATTTTTTTTAAAAATTGACCTTTTTGAATACTTTGACTTTTTTACATTTTGATTTTTTTTGTATTTTGATTTGTTTTGAAAATTTTGAACATTTTTTAAGCATCGCGCTGCATAGCTGATTTGGAGTCGAAATATCAAAGCGCGTGAGCGCCATGGTCGTCTAACGTGTAAACATTGGTACGGAATCCATATAAATGTACTCAAAATTTGTATTTATTATTATAATCTTTATAAAATATCTGATAATACGAGCACATTTGTCTAATTCATTTTTGACCACCAAATGGCATTATTTTTTACTTTTTTTATTGATTTAATTTTCAATTTCTTTACAAAATTTCACCAGATTGTTTCGTCAATACAAGTAAATGTTTTTTTTAATTATTTAAATCAGACGCTCCGTTATATCAAAAACTAAAATGCCATTGTTGGTACTTTTTGGCCCCGTATCTCCCAAACGGCTAGACCTGCCTTTGCCAAAAACTAATCAGAACGTCTCCTTGTCAGTAGAAATCGAGTGTTTTTTAAATTATTCAAATCGTTTAATCCGCGTTCGCAAAATCGTTGACGAAATTTTGTATCCGCACACACGCACACACACACACACATACATCCATTTTTCTAACAATAAGGTATGCCAAAATGTTCAAAAACCTCTGAAACGTAAATAAGTAAAAAAACTTTTCATTTTCGACTTTTTTGCGATTATTCTAACTCACCCTACGGGTAGTTAATAACCAAGATTAATAGTAGAAGCTATGCAACCATATATATATTGATAGATCGGGGCTTAAGGTCTGAGAATAAAAAGGTCTACAACTGATATATCAAAAACAAGTAAAGTTAAGAATTTCTTAACAACGATATTTGTAAGTTGGAGGAATGAGATGTATAACCAGCCATCACCTTGATTCTTACGACAATGCTATCGAGAGATGAATGTTAATTTTTGAAATTCCATATCAAAAGCATTTTCTTTCGTTGTAAGTTTTTTTGATTGTGCGCACTGTTGTTTAGTTTACGAGATCTTAATATAATTTTTACGTATAAGTTATTTAATTGTTTTATAAGACTTATTGTTAATTTTAAATTAGATTTATAAGCTTTTACATAACCTCTATGAAAGCTTGCAAGTGGTGAAGTAAAAAAAGACAACTAACTTTTACCCCCTGGCGAAGGTGTACAACATTTAAGTTGCAGTCATATTTCAAAACTACTGTAAGTGGAATTCTGTCTTAAGGCAATTAAGGCATCGTGCCTTAAGGCAAATTGCTGGAACTTCCCGTACCAAAAATTATTATTTTTTAAAAACGATTAACATTTTTGAAAAAAATTTACTTTGAAAAAATAAGATTTTTGAGAAACTATAAATTCGACAAAAAATTACTTTTTTTTGAAAAAAAATTAAAAAAAAAAAAAAAAATTAATTTTTAAATTTTTAATTTTTAATTTTAAATTTTAATTTTTTTTTTCGAAAAAATTTTTTAACTTCCCGTAGGGCAAGTTCTAGTAATCGCAAAAAAATCGAAAATGAAAATTTTTCATTTCTCGACGTTTCAAAGGTTTCTGAATATTTTGGCATACCTTAGAAAAAATGGATGTAGGTGTGTGTGTGTGTGTGTATGTATGTATGTGTGTGTATGTATGTGCGGATACAAATTTTCGTCGACGATTTCGGGAACACGGATCAACCGATTTGAATAATTCAAAAAACATTCGACCCGTATTGATAAGGAGACGTGCTGATTAGTTTTTGGCAAAGGCAGGTCAAGCCGTTCCGAAGATACGGGGCAAAAAGTTCCGAAAACGGTAACTCAGTTTTAAGAGAACGGAGCGTCCGATTTTAAAATTCAAAAACATTTATTTGTATTGACAAGATGAAGAATCGATACAACTTTCATGAAGGTAGGTCCAGCGGTTTCGGAGATATAGAGGAAAAAGTAAAAAATGAGCCATTTGGCGGTCAAAAATGATCATTAGACATATGCACATCAAATTATCAGACATTTTATAGAGATTTTAACGACAATATAAATTTTGTTTACATTCCTATCGGTTCCGTACCAATGCTTATGCGTTAGACAGCGACGCGGCGCTTACGCGCTTTATATTTTGTCCCTATGTAGTTAAAGCAGTACGATTGCTTTGAAAAAAAAGTTCAGATCTTCCACAATATGTCAAAATAAGAAAAAAAAATTTTTTTTTCAAAAAAAAAAAAAATTTTTAAAAAAATTTTTTTAAAAAAATTTTTTTTTTCAAAAAAAACTAATTTTTTGTCCAATTTATAGTTTCTCAAAAATCTTATTTTTTTAAAGTAATTTTTTTTCAAAATGTTAATCGTTTTAAAAAAAATAATAATTTTTGGTACGGGAAGTTCCAGCAATTTGCCTTAAGGCACGATGCCCTAATTGCCTTAAGACAGAATTCCACTTACAGCTAGTTTTTTCTTTATTTTGACATATTGTGGAAGATCTGAACTTTTTTTTAAGCAATCGTACTGCTTTAACTGCATAGGGACAAAATATAACGCGTAAGCGTCGCGTCGCTGTCTAACGCATAAGCATTGGTACGGAACCCATAGGAATGTTAACAAAATGTATACTTATTGTTAAATCTCTATAAAATATCTGATAATTTATTGTGCATATGTCTAATGATCATTTTTGACCGCCAAATGGCTCATTTTTTTACTTTTTCCTCCATATCTCCCAAACCGCTAGACCTGCCTTCATGAAAA